CGGTTCAACCTCGAGGTTTAACGAGTCTCGGATGCCTCGCGGTCAGGCATTGAATGTTGAGAAAAATAACAATTGAATTTCGCTTTAAATCAACTTACAAGTGAACGGCAAATTTACAGCGCATCCGATAATTGAAAATAGTTCAGAATTGCAAACACATTTGAACAAGTCCTCTTGTGTCTTTTCTCCAGAGAAAGAAAATGGCCAAGCTTTACAAGTTTCGCGAACACAGGGGAAGAGATAAAGGAGAAGTGGCGAATATCTCGCATGGCTGCAACGGTCGGCCATCTTTGGCCAACATTATAGAACGAGAAGCGAGCATCAGCGTTAAAAAGAGGGAGAAGATCGAAGAAACAACGAGAAAAAGAACGGTGGGTGGGTAGCTCGATTTTAATCCTTCTTGTTTGTCTTTGCATTAATTATCCAGAATTAAGAACGCTGCTCGACCGCGGCGCCGCGCGCAGCCGGATTACTGGCTTTATTATTACTTGTTGCAGATTATTAATTACCGAGAATTATGAGCGAAGCGCGGGAATAGGCTGTGGGTGGTGATGGCGAATGGCATCGTGGGCGGAGAGCGGCGGACGGTTGCCGGGAAGAAAGGCACCCCTCTTAGATTTGTGTTTTCAATTAATTTCCGTAAATTAAGAACGATTGTAGTAAGAGGAGATTAGTAACCGCTAGCCATGCTTCGAAAGCTGTAAAAATACCGTCAATGAAAAAGCTCGCCTCGCGTTCCGGTTTCTCGAGTGTAAATTAAATTAAACAACTCGATAAACTATCTTCGCAACAGCTACAGCTGTTGCAAAGATCGATGAATAAACGCGAACAAGTGAATAAATAAGCGATATCACATTCGTGATACTAGCGACTGTATCATTAAATGGTCCTGGCTAATAACTAACCGTCGTGACCGTTTGATTGCGTTCGAGTTTTCCAATCGAGACACGGAACAGTGTTTCCACTTTTTATCAATAAAAAAAGAATCAGCGCGCGGCTGTGTTTTTATCGCGTTACTATATATTAGAAAGTTCAAGGCTCTGTATCCGCTTTGCGGTTTTCATCGATTGCAGTTGCCTGTGAATAATTCTCACGGCAACTAGTACAACGCGAACGAACGCGCGGACTTCGTTTTCGGTTACGGGATTAATCGACAAGCAGATTTAATGGAGACGCACCCGCGCGCGCGCGTCGTGGGGGTGTCTACGGGTGTATATATGTATCTCGATGAAAAGTAATGCTAACAATGGGGTCATGCGAGCCTTTATAATATCACGCTGGCGGCCCAATTCCCCGTGCAGGATACGGAACGGGAAAAAAAGGCCGAGAGGCCTGCCAGCTGCTGTAAACGATACAATTACCAGATAGATACGTGCTCGTGTGTACGGAGAGAAAGAAAGAGAGAGAGAGAGAGAGAGAGAGAGAGAAAGAGGGAGAGAAAGGAGACTGATCGTCCTCCACTCGGCGTCGCTGCGGCAAAAGAATCGAGCGATCCCTTTTTCGAGACGTCCGTCCGTCGAATAATATCGCGATGCTTTCCGTGAGCCACCAGGAGAGCACAGTCGCGTTCATACGAGGACTTTACCGAGCCCTATTTGTGTATTCGTGCAGTTAACACGAGCGCATAGATATTAAAAGCTTACGTAGCCTATAACCACGCATCGGCGCACGGCAACAACCAGGAGCTGGGAGGAGCGAGCAGAGGAAATAAATATTAATAACGGCTTTCTGCTGCCATCTCTCTCTCTCTATCTCTCTTTCTGTTCTACTCTTGCTCTCTCTCCCCCTTTTCACCCCCTCTCCTCTCCGGTTCTATTCTCTGTGTACTACCCCTTCTTTCCTCTCTCCTCCCTGTGTCTCTCGCTCTCTCACAATATGTCTGTGCATTGTTAGAGCCATTACGGGAGCCAATTAATCTATGCACAATTTTATAATTAAACGGCTAATAGCGCATAGAATTATAGTCCAGGGCCGCGCGCACTCCCACGTAGTTTCTGGCTGGCTGTTGTTATGTCAGGTACATACTAAGCGCCGTGCTTGCGAAGAGGAGCGTAGAAAAATTACATTATGCGTTCCCTTCTCGGTGCCTTTTCCTTCTTTCCTCTTTGTCTCTCCGGCGCGACCTCTTTTCGCGGATTCCCAATTAGAGGCTCCATTCCGAATAGGTAGTTTGCGCGCGATCGTTGGTCCGTCCGACCGAGTTAGGCGAATTAATTGATATAATTGACTCGTCTCGTTAGCTATGCGCAACGCGGCCGCATTATTATTTCCTCGCCGATTACCGTAGGGCCCGCATAAATGTATATACATATATATATATATACGAGATACGACGCGAATAATTATCGCAATCGATTATTTTTTTCAGCCTAACAGGAATATATCTCTTGGCGTTCTCCATCAAGATAGCAGCTCTCCAGATACGTGTCTCCCCGAGATACGCTCTTGAGAAAAAGTTGAAAAGAGAGAGACGGCGTCTCGCGATGAGAGATAAATAATACGCGGCATTTAAAAGCTTACACCAAGCGGCAGTAACGATTCACGCATCGCGCTCTCGTTAACACGCGTGTCTGACAGAACGAACTCGGCACGCGGCATTCGTCGTTATCGTCTGCATACTCGGCTTTTTTTAATATTATTACTCGGAAGCGCACGAAATACGAATGCGCGATTCAGCTGTATATCTCGGAGCAGTCCGGACGGAACAACGCAGCCGGCGCCGCGCAGTAAACCGCAAGAAAAATCCCCCTGAATTATCGGTGCGGTTCTGGGCACATGCTGTTGTATCGGTCCCGTAGAAGCGTACAACGGCGGCGGGGTCGACGTGCACTCGTATATATGTAGATGCGCGCGCGTACGCTTCATGCGCGCGTGGGTGTAGGCGCGTGTGTTTGATTCGTCGTAGATGTGTGCGTCCGTTGCTGCCGTGCATTATCAGAATGTAACGACGTCAGCGGTACACGCGATCGGACCGCACAGGAAGGCCGTGTCGCAGCCTCTTGATCATCCTATTTTTCAAGCGCGACCCCGTCTCCCTCTTTTCCGATCGATACGCGCGCGATCAAAGTCGGCAAAGTGTAGGTAAGAATCTGCCAAACAATCGAAACAATCTTGCTTCTCTCGCTCTTTCGAAAATGTCACCGAGTATAATATAATTGTTACCAATAATTATCACTTGTTTTCGGCAGTAAAATAATTATAAATGTCGAAAGAATTTTTCTCCACAAACTGTTGTTAAAAAATTATCCATAAAATTGACAACAATTCTATCGCTTTCTAGATTGAAAGAAATTTTATAATATTATATGTATGAGAGAAAGATTATAAGAAAGTTTATAATAAAATAAAATTACTTAACTTACGAATATAAAGAATCTACGGTGTCGAGAAAATTGCTCGCTAATTGAAGCTACAAGTCGAGGTTTGTATCACGAGAAGGAGCAAAACTGTTGGATAAAACGAGTAGGGAAAGACGAGACCCGCACGAGCCGACGGCTCGCCGAGTTCTGTTCTGTGACTGCTACTCCGGATTATTCGGATCCCTGCGATCCCTACGAGTTTCCTCCTTCTTCCTCTCGCGCTCGCTCTCTCCTTCTGGCCATCTCCGGCTCTTTCGCTCTGTCCCTCGGGATATCCCTCGATTCCCTCTCGCTCTGTCCCTCTCTCCGTGTCGCGTTGAATCCGTTTCCGTTGTGACTGCCGCTGCGCGTCGCTCGCCGAACAAATATTGCCCATTTGCCAGGCGATTCGCGGTTCTACCTCCAAGAGAACCTCATCAGCTTCGCGACAGGAAACGTACAAGTGGAATCGACAAATTATATCGAGAAGGAATCGCCAAATCTATTGTTCAATAGGAATCAACGGGACGATCTGGATTGATAAACGACGCGAGGCGAGAGGACAACACTTTAGCCGACGACCTTAAATCCCCTCGTTCCGTTTACCATTCCGTTTCGTCTGTCGTCTACCTCGTGGGTGGGGTGAGAGAGAGAAAGCTTGTACAACCGTGCTCTCCTCCTCTCGCCCGGCATCCTCTCTTTCTCTCCCTCGTCGGGGACGATTCATTCAGAGAAACTGCCGTGAAAGGGACACCTGTTGGCGCGGGAACTTGGTGACAATCCTAGAAACGAGAAGCACGTGCCCGTGTTATGACTCGGATATCTTAATTCTCTCCTTTTTTTCCTCGCCTTACGGTGCATCGGGATTACTCCCGCTTCGAACGAATATTATTTTACAAGCGGATGCGATATGTCTCTCGTTTTGGCATAATTCTCCCGAATGTAAATAAAGCTATTGCCGAAGCGGCATTCTTCTCAAACCGTAAAATGCAATTTCGATGCATGAGGATCGCTCGTGAATCGCCTGTACGAATAAAGCCCGAGGGTCACCAGGAGCCGTTCTCGATGATGATCAAGTCTTAAGAAGCGGTAGGTGGTGCACAATTAAAGTACTTTTTGGCCGACTGGTAGCGGGCGCGAAAGCTGTAGTATAAGCGAAGATAAAGTGCTGCCCAGCGGCGACATCGTGCGTTATTAATGTATGCGAGGATCGTAGCTTCCGTTTGCAACAGTGAGGTCTCAGATGTACGCGAGCCATATTTTCAAAAACCCCTTCTTTTCCTCGTAATAATTGATACGCGATAAACATCGATAACAATCGATAAATATTCACTATTCATCACTACTGTGATTCGTTTTTCAGATTCGTTTGCAGAAACGCCTGGAATACAGCAATGGCATGATCGCCACGAGGCAAAATGGAGACTGTCAAAACTGGTTTCATCGAAATTACCAGTCATGATCCCGAGCTCTGTTCTGTTCTTTTCGTTCCGCACACTCGCTCATCAGCTTCGTCATTACCGAACTTGGAGGAACGCAAATTTGTCTCGACCTAAGAATGCCTATTCGCGAGAATCGCAAGCGACGACCTAATCGAAGGGGAAATGTACAACAAGGAGAAGAACCGTCGTCGCGTCACCTTTGATGAGCGTCGTCACCTACCTGGCCGTGGTGCAGTCCCTGTAAAGAACGTCGAAGTCCTTGCAGCTGAGCAGCTTGCACCGATTGACGCCGGGTTGAATGGCTCCGAGACCGCGTAAGATTCTAACTTGCTCGACGTTACACACCAAAGGTACGATATCCAGCCGCTTGAGCTTGGTGTAGACTGTGTGAAGGCCGCCCACGAGATGCTTGAGAAACAGTTCGAAGGCCTGCGGCAGACAGAGCATCGTGTCGCCGGCGATAATAAACGCCGCGACCTTCTGTCCGCGATAATCAACCAACTTGCACTCGTTGGCAGTAGGATCGCTAGTACTGATCGGCGGTGGGCTGTTGTAAGATCGCGGTGGTAAGACCGCGTGATGAGCCGCCATCAGCTCCAGGGGCGAGCCATGATGACCGCTCAACATACCACCTAGTTGGCCCAGTAATCCCAGTCCCGGCGGCGGTAGTCCTGGCATACGAGGAACCATGCCCGGCGGTGCCCCAGGTCCACCTCCGGCCGACAACGGCGGTGGACTTAGAGGAAGACCCTGGGGTGGCGAACCTCTCGTGGGCGATCCCGGTGTCGGCACACCGCGATGCTGCTGCTGATGATCACGAATCTGATCACGCCCGTGCGACTGCTGATGAGACGGCGGCGGCTGATGCTGACTGGAGCCGTGGAGTTGCTGTTGCTGGCTCTGCGTCGACGGACTGTGCGGATGTTTCGGACTGCCGGTTACGGGACTGGCACGGCTGCTGTGATCGGAAGAGCTGTCCATCGCTCCGTGGTCCATGGAGGGTCGAAAACGCGCGTCCGTGTTCTTCCTCGTAGAGACGACGAGACACTCTGCCACGTCGTCCTTGTCGTCAGCAATACGGTCCGTGTTCCTGACGTTCAATGTCGTCACTGTGTTCGCCGGTTGGCGAATATCGCGGTGCGACTCGAACGTAGAAATGTGAATCGCTTCAATGCATGTTAAAGCATGTTTCTTCCGATCCTCTTTGTGAGTCTTCTTCAACGATAATTAACGTGTATCGCAACCGATTTATAATCTTCAAACCTGCGCCAAATTAGCGCCCTTGAAATGTGCCGCCTGTCACTGCAAGGAAGTGTTGCGCGTCTTGGCACAAGTCAAACCGCACGATTTCTTCAGTCCTTATACGCACGTGAACCTCTGTGTCCATAACAATGTTTTAGTCCACCACGCGGATATCTGATTTTCACCGATCCATCGCGGAAACGCTCAACACGCCAGCTTACTCGCGACAATAACGACAATGATTACGAGGACGATGACGATGACAACGACAATGACAGCAGTTGTTGCGCGAACGATGACAGTTCTCGGCACTGAGTTTATCAACGAGACGTAGCAACTTGTTCACTGGCTCACGACGATGATGTCTTCATGTCACAACAAACGGAAAACGGCTACACCACGACAATTACACCGGAATAAAAGAGACGCGTAAATACGAGAAAACCGCAACGTGTGTACGAGATATGACTGTGATAATGTCAATGATGAGATGACAGCGAGGATGACGGCGGCGACGACGGCGACGGCGACGGCGACGGCGACGGCAACGACAACGACGACGGCGACAACGACGACGACGGCGACGGCGGTGGTGGCGGCGGCGACGATGACGACGGAGGCGGCTGCCGCGGTAACTCGCAGGGACGCGCGTCGCTCGTTCTCAAAGTAGCAAACGCTCTCTCGGTCGAGTCGGGAGTATTTCCCTACCCAGTCACAGATGTAATAAATAAAAACATCAGTGGGAGCCCGACAAACGGGGAGGATGGGCGTTCTGTGCGCACAACCGACTATCCGGTTGGCGGAGCCACCAGGGCGGCTGTTCTCGCTATTGGACGGCAGGCTAACACTGTCTACGCCTTTCAAACCTTCCCTCCGGGTGGCGGCGGTTCGGCCAACCGCCCCCCGCATCCCCCACTATTTGCCAACCTCTGCCACCGACGTGGTAGACGACGACAACGACTACGCCGACGAGGACGGTTCCGGGGGCTACCAACACAGAGGGACAACCAGACGCAGACGCGCGGAGAGCCTGAGGACAGTACGACTGGAACGTACCGGCGGTGTGCGAGTGGGGGAATTCTTCTTTTACTCTCGCCGGGTTTGTCTTCTTTCGCGTTGCGGATCTTACGTTCTCTTTCCTGCCTCGGCGCGCGCGTGTTCCTCCTCGCCCCACTCTCTCTCTACTTTTATATCTCTTACTCTTGTCTCTTATTCGCGTGCTGTTCTTCACTCAGTCTCCTCACTCGGCTCTTATTTCTCTTCTTCCTCCGACTGTCTGCGTCGTGGGGTTTCGTTTGCGACACTTCCACGTTGCTATGTATCTGATCATTTATATTTCTTCACGTTTGACAATTCTTTACTTTTAATTCCATTCATATTAGTCTTATTCCTCGCTTTCTCTTTTTATCATCGATTCTCTAAAGTCGTATGCCATTCTAATTTTTCTTTCATTTTTTTTCTTATCTTTTTGACTATTCCCGTCTCTCCGTCCCTCTCTCATCGTCTCTCGCCACCCTCCACATTTTCCAGATTCGCGCTCTCTCGCGCGACCAGCCGTTTCTGCCTTCCGTGTATATGTTTTCTTCTTCGCTCGCTCCCGTCTGCCCTACTCTCGCTTTATCTCTTTCTTTCGTCATCTCCCTCTGCGTTAGGCGCGCACACACGTACTGCCTGTTCCGTCTCTATCTCTCTCTCCCTCTTTCTCTCACTGTTCCCTGTCCCTACGACGAAGAATGTCGCCAACGTTCGAATCGATCGCTCGCTTTCGCGTGCGCTGCCTCCCTTCTTCACCCTTCTGCCATCCGCGAACCCACTCTCCCTCTCCCCCCCTCTATCCCCCTCTCTCTCTTTCCTCTACTACCTCGTTCACCTCCTCCTCAACCTTCTCCACCTCCTCCTCCTCAACCTTCTCCACTACCCTCTCCTACTCTTTCCTCAGATCTCCTCTACCATATTCGCCATCAGCATTACACGCGCGCACTTATTTCTTCTGTAGGTAACTCCGCTTTCCTTGCGATCTCTCTCCTGCTCCGCCACCCCCTTACGCCTTCGCCCACCCTTAGTCCATCTACCCTCTCTCCGCGCCGTGCGCGCCTCTGTGTTTCCTCCGCCTCTCCATCCCCACCAGACCGACACACAGGATAGTCTACACTCTCCGACACGGTTAGGGTATGGGTGCTTAATATCTTTGTGCCATACCCAAGGCGCCCGTATCCGCCGACAGTTCCTGGAGGTGAATTTTGCCGCGATCGAGTACCTCGATTCGCGGGGCAGAGATGAAAATCACAAGTGCGAAACGAGTACGAACAATTTTATGCAAGTAGATGCAGCGAACAGAATGTTTTAGCTTTTCAAAAATAGAGGCAAACATATCGCTGATTAAAAAGAGCTGCTCGATTACAAGGGTAACCACAGTACGAGAACCTTTATGCTGTATGCACGAAATATTTAATCATAAATTAGATCAGAGGAGTATTAAATTTTCCTCTTGACAAGCTTTAATCTATACCTTTAACATGTTTCTTGAAGCGGAATGCGAAAAGCACGCGACAGGGATGATTCGCGGAGACGATCTCCGATTATCTCGTCATAGACGCTTCGTGACTGATAGCAACAGGAAGGGAAACAAGTCTAGCGTTCTCTCCTCTCTTTTGGCCAGTCAACCCCTCATCGTCCCTCGTCGGCCCGGTGACCCAGATTTGCTAGGGAGACCCTTCGCGATGCAAGTATCGTCGTATGCGTTTATACGGACACGTTCGTGTGGCCATACAAACATACCTAGGTACACGCATACACGCGCAAATAGATACGCACACGTAAATATAAACCCATACTCGTGTAGAGATTCTATGGTTCGCAAATACGTTTACTCAAAACAGCTGATCCCTACCTCGTAGATTTCGAAACGAAAACCCCTAAGCTTATCTTTCATTGAACGAGCTCGATCATTATTTCTACACTTGTAAATCTAGCTTGCGTGCCAGCAAATTCTATTCTTAATTGCATATCACCTTGTAGGTTAATTGATATTTTGCATTTTCCACGTGAATCATAATTAATTACTCCACGCTGTAATATTTGAGCGCAGAAACGCTTGATATATTTCACAAACATGTCTCAGATACGTAGATGTATGTTACGATCAATATTTTATTGTAATTGCATCACTCGCATAATTGAGCACATATTCGCTGCTAATTGTGTGCTAATAAGTTGAAAAAAAATTTACAGCGGACGAGTTTGCAAAGGCGATCTTATTGCTGAATAAATAGAATAAATCGCGATACACGAGATAAGCGCCGTCTCTATCGACAAGTATCTAGACTCGGCAATTTTTCCAGAACGGAATAAGAATCGTCCTTTGTCTTGCGAGAAGACAATCGATCATAAGATCGATGTGCGTGGTCCGGACAAGTGAGAGAGGTCGAGGGAAGGGACGGGGGGGGGGCAACCAGTAGGGGACCGATGTTTGCCGCGACCCAAACCACGTCCAATTAGTGGAATTAATACCGGCTGGGCTTTGGGGGAGCTAATGCCTCTGTGTGTGCATACCTACGGGTATGCGCGCCGATGACTGCACTTTCCTTCGTGCGTAATGAAGGACAGTCCCGTCGTCGAACCTATAGGTCGATGCATTCGCTCGTGGAAACGCGATCGCCACCGACCTCCTCTTGTTCTGCGGTCACCGATGAAATTCCGCAACTCACAGATTGTACTCTGATGAATCGTTAAGAAACTCGGCCGGCTAATTTCGTTCGATTATCACGAGAAAGGTTTGAAATATATCGCCCAGATATTAAATTTTAAAAACACAATTGACAAAAACAAACGGCAATCGTTATTATATCTTATCAACAAATGATGGGCGTTTTCCAGCTAGGATACGCTAAATTACACTGAGTAACACTGTGTAAAATTCTTGTTGGAACGAACAGTGTGACAGTAGATTTAATTTCTGAAAATCTCAGTAGAGGGTAGTTTTGATCTTATAATACATTATAGAGTCTAAAGAAAAAATTATGTTATTACAATGTAGGTACGTAAATTCTAAAAAAATATAATAAGAAACTATATATAATATATAACAAATATATAAATGTTTATAAAAATAAATAATAAAATTTTTATTGCATTTATTATTTACATCTTAGAAATCCATTTTTTTCTAAAATAAAATCCACGTATCTACTCTCTAAATTTATTTTCTAAAATTTATTGTAATGTATATAATTATACGTATAACTTGTTGTAGCATATGTATTATTTAAAGATTATATTCAAAGACATTGCCACAATTTAAATGATATCTAGAATAGAATTTCTTACAATTGGTAACATTGGACGCTTGTACTCGCTTGTATTTTTCTGTATCAGACAGTGTAACTCTGTGTTAGCTGGAAAACGCCCGATTAGTGGCCTGATGTAAACGAGATATCGAGCTAGTAATGAAGAATCTAACGATGAATTTTCCTAATCCATTCTTCGGAGCATTTCGGAGACTGTCGATTATCGGAAATTTATTTCGGATATTACGCTCGATGGCACGCATATCGTTTCTTCGCTCTCCGTCCATCGTCCCTCTCTGTCTATTTTTCGAAAGCGCACCGATATATCGCTCCTCCTGTTCGCGTTTGGCGCGAGGTTTGGCACGATGGGGAACGAGCGCCGGGCATTTTCAGACAGGCCACCGTGTGATACGCATTGTTCGTCCTGGACGTCGCCGCCGTCGCCACCGTAGTCCCTGTTACCGCTCGTTGCCCACCCCGCTACAGATACGCGCTTAGCGCAACACGGTGTGTTTGCATCGTGCATAGCTGTTACGTAACCCTCGTCATTGTTTGCGCATCGTCGTTACACGCCTGTATGGAGAAAGGGAGGACGGGGAGGGTGGTCACTCTCTCTCACCGAAAGGCGGATGGAAAAAAAGAATTTTTGCTCGTCTCGCGCATAGAATACGAGCGCATCTAGACGCAGCCGAGCAGAGGACCCGCGTCGGGAGGACCTCGTCGAGAACAGGCCCGATTGCACTTTTGTGATGTTCACATCACATCGTGCGCACGTTCATCGCGTATTTTCTCCCTCTTCCGGTCTCTTACGCGTTTCACCGTTGGATAAACTCCCGTGGCGGATGAATATCGATCGTCCCGAAGCTCTCGTTGGAATATGTATCGCGCGAATGCCAATTCTACCGTTTTAATTTTGCATCGGCACGCGGCTATTGGAATCACAATCGCAGAATCAATCGGTACGCCGTAGCCAAATTTGTCCGTTCGCCGGGCGAGAACAACAAGCGAGCGATATGCAAACGAGCGAGTGTCGACGTGGAGGGACAGAGAGGGAGAACGAGAGCGAGCGAGGGAGCGAGGCGCGGGGGCGAGGGGGTGGGACGGTTTACATTTTCCAGATTGAAATGTTAACCCGGTAGAAAGGTGGTCGGCGTGCGTGTGCATTACGGCCGATAACCCGATAACGCGTCGTTGTATGCATCACGCCCTTACATCCAGCATCCCCGTTTCAGTCCGCGATGAAGCAATCACCGTCGATAAGCATTGTACGGATCCGGCACAATGGACAAGACTTTCCAGCCTCTCCCTGCCCCTCCCTTATCCCACCGTTATCTCTGCCTCCCTCTGCCTCTGATGAAATCCCGGCGTAATCTTCCGTGATCGAATAGCCGTCCGAATTATAAACAGAAGCGGTCTCTCCTCATTTCTTTTCTATCGTTGCCCTC